CCAACAGGCTGATGCCACAGCACCGTGAGCCGTCCTGGGCTCGGTGTCACCAGCCAGGCTACCTCTGCGATGTGGGAGGCTGCGCCAAGCAGACTGGATGCTCTTCATCGCTTCTCCTTGCAGGCAGAGCCTGTCCCGCAGCCACAGCGTGAGGGTCTCTGGGCATTTGCAGGGCTGGCGTTGGCTCGGCTCTCAACAGGGCAGCGTTCCCAGCACGCTGGCACCGGGGCCCTGCTCGCAGTCAGCAGACGAGGGTGTCCTTGGAGGGTGGTTTTTGTAGCCGGTCCGTCTCCCCAGTCTGTCCTGTGTGCAGTCAGAGCTGGCGTTCATCCTAAATAGGCTCACGCTTGCTGGGAAAACAAAGTTGTTTTTCCTTTTCCTCTCCCCCCACTGCCCTTCCTGAGCTTCCGAGTGTTTGTGGCCAAGGACAGCAGAGCTTTGGGATGCCGGGACGGCTCTGGGCATGAGCAGGGGACCAGCCCTGCAGAAAATGCCTGGGAGGAACTTCCCTGGGAGCCAGACTTTGCCCTCCTCTCCAAGGCAACGCCTTACCAAAGCTTGGGCTAAAGCTTCTGTCCATCACAGATCAACGCTTAACATGTCCCGTGCAGGTGACTCCCAATAGTCTTGTTTCCTCTCCTCATACTCAAGCAGCTGTTCTTTTTTTAATCATTATGGGGTTTATAACACTTTACTATTTTTAATCAAATGGTCTTTACTCCAATATGTAATCAAATGCCGAGAACAGATGAACTGCTGCTGGAGGAGTCTCCTAAGGTGCTTCGTCACCTGGCCCATTTTATCAGGGCACATTACATCACCCCGATGCTGATTCCATCCATTTATTTCCTTTTAGAAGCAGGAGGGCTCATTGCCGGGCTTTCAAATCCTCGGCGTTTTGCTGAACACCTCTAAACAATCAGAGGTGTGCCCAGATGGCTGATGTTGTGCTCAGCCAAGGCAAACAGCTCTGGCACCAGGGGAAATACCTTGTGGAGGAGTTGGAGTTGGGAACTTCAGTCGAACCACGATCCTGTTTCACTTCAGGGGATCTGTATGTGCATGTGTCCCAGTTTTAAGGTCTGAGATTTACCTGAAACATCTAAGGGCATGTCTTATTTGATAAAAAACTTGAAATACACTGATACTGGTGACACCCACCCCATTCTGAACGTGGTGGGGATGTTCCTGGCAAGTGTCCCTTGGGGCAGTTGTAGCCTACCAAGGCTGTCCCAAGCCCATGGACATCTTTGTGTATTGTGGGGTTTTTTAATCTGTTGAAGGAAAGGTGAACTTGGCTGAATGAGAGATGTGGCAGGGGGGTTAAAGGATCAGCACACAAACCAGCTGCTCATGAAGCCATAAAAAAGAGCTTTCTGCAACCTGCGCCTGCAACTCTGCCCAGGGCACAGGAGCTTGGCTTTGCTTCGCTTTATCAGGCATTTGGTAATACCTTCCCTAAGTCCCCTTGTTTTGCCTATCTCCTCCTTGCATCTTTTCTTGAGGTTTAGTTACTTAATCCATGATGAAATGTAAAGCAAAGTTCTCCACGCTCGTGCTCAGGAGAAGGACTTTGTTTACAGTTTCAGCCGCCTCTTAACTCATTGCCCTTGTAGGTTTAATTTTAATAGGGCTTTTGCATTTGAAAGCTCATCTAGGTTAGTATTGCAAGAGAAAATTTTTTCTCTACAAAGGAAGTTTGCAAATTGTGTTACAGATCATCTTTTTTTTTTTTTTTTTTTTTTTAAATAACTGAGTCGCTGCACATCCTTGGTGTGGCTGAAGGAGGATGGTTACTGTGCAGTTCTGGTGGCTACTTGAAGCTCTAAAGTTTTGCTTCCTCATTCAGCCTGTCCGTACTGATACTTGCCATCAATAAGATGTTTTGTAAGAATCTGATAGATAAACCATCTAACTAAAGGCACTGATGTCCTGAGCTGTTCAGCTCCTGGTTGTGCTTCGTGTTGAGAGGGTCAGCAATGGTAACCACAACAGGGTCTTTTTAAATCAAATTACTTGAGGGTTGGATTGTTTTGGGTTTAGTTGTTTTTTTTCTTTGCAATAGTTGTCTTTACTTTGTGCTCATTATAATACTTCAATGTATACTTAAATTTAAGCTTTTCCAGTGGGAGGCACTTACTTTGAAGCAGCATTTACTTTGGAGTCCGCAAGCAAAGTTATTTCCAGTTTGGCATTAAATCTTTTTCAAACAGGCAAGAAGTATTCCTTTGAAGCATGCAGGGAACTCTGCAGATGTGGACGGCTGCTGTCGTCTCTTGGGCCCTCTGCTGCATCAGGTCCCTGCTGCTTCCCGCCTGGCAGAGCTGCACCGATCCGGCACGAAGCGTCATCGCTGCTGCGAGCGCCAGGGATGTGCAGTGCGGGATGGAGATGGGGTTTTTCCCCTCAAGCAAAACGTTAACAATGTCACAACAGAACGTTGTCCGATACGCTGAAGCCTGGCCTCTCCTAAACTTCACGTATCCTGCAAATAGCTTGGAAAAGCACTGGGATTGCCTGAGCACACCTTCCTCGGGAGGCTGGGGAGCTGCCGGGCTCATCTTGGGGATGGTGCAGTGTCCTCATGTGTCCGTGAGCAAGCTGGCAGACCAAGCCTCTGCTTCCAAATCTCCCTTGTCATCCTTCTGCTCAAGCGTTAAGAGCCTAAACAGTGTTTCTAGGAAGTGCAGCATAAATCCAGTCAAGCGCTTAAGCAAGTCCCAGGCTTTAGGTATATAAGTAGTCTTGCTGGATTTATGCTTTTTAAAGTGGGTGGGGGTTTTAGGACGCTTTTGTTTTTATCTCAAAGGCTAGTGAAAGCCGTCTTCCCCCGTGCTAGGGGGTGGCATTCACTGCAGCAGCCTTGAACAGCCCCATCTTCTCCTGATGCTGGCTTTAGGCTCCGGTTCTGTGAAGGTTTATGTCATGTTTAACTTCAGGGTGGTGTCCTAGAGAGATACTCCCGTCCATAGGTCAGCACGGGTCTGTGAAAGCTGAGCCAAGCTTACCAGAGCTTTTGTCTGTCGGTCTCCATCCATCGCCCAGCTGAGTGTGCTCGGCTGGCACAGGGGCACACGGGAGCACTCAGCAGGGAGCAAAGCCAGGGGGTTGACTCGGTCGCTTTGCTCTGCTCCCCAGTGTCCACGTACAATCGGAACCACTGTTGAGCAGTTCTCCATCCATCTCTCCGAGGTTTTCAGAGCACCTGTACAAGTTCTTGTTATCCCTTTTTGGCCTTGCCTGTGTTGAGGCAGCCTGGGATTTTGTGGATGAAACCAAATGAGGCGCTGGTTGTACTTTGAGCCACTTTGCACCAGTGAAAGCTGCGGAAGTTCTTTGGGATGTGCAGTGTTTACCTGAAAGAGGAGAATCAGGCTGGCGAGAGCAGCGTTTGCAAAGTCTATGTAACATGAAGGCAGCAGTTTGTCTTTCTTGGTCTGGTGCTTTCCTGCTGTAATACAGCACATGCCCTAAAAGCTGCTCTCCTGCTGGAGGGCAACATCTGCAGCAGTGAGCAGGACTCTTCCATCCTGCCATAAACGTACCCTGCTTTGAATGAACACTTCTAATGTAGTTTTTCATTCGACTGTCATATGTCTGTGTATTTTCTTTCCAGCTGCTGTAATACAGGGCATTGAGAAATCTCATTTTCTCAAAAATACTTGGAGAAAGCACCAAAAGCTGCTCTGTGTGCTCTGTGGCAGAGGAAGAGAGGTTTGCTTCAAGGTCGGTGCCCACGTTCGAAATACTGCTGCTTTGCCCTGCTGCCATGCTTGAGGGTGTGCAGCCAGCAGCTGAGGAGGTTTGATCCCGTTGTGTGAACTTCAGATGGAGCAAATGGCTTTTCATGAGCATCTTTTTCTCTTGAGGCCAGGCAGGAGGGCTCCCATCCCTCTGCCCGACACCTCTGGTGACAGGGGATCAGCTGGAGCTCAGTGCCAGCACTGACAGATCCCACCACAGCTGAGATCCCAGAGCCAAAAATGATTTGATTTGTTCTGAGGTGCGCTGGGGAAATCCCATAAATGCTGGGAAATGAGCTGGCACTTTGAGGGCTAACAAGAGCTTTTGCTTTAGGAGGGTGTTTCTTCTAGTACTCCCACGGCTCTCCACTGAACACCGGGATGGCTCTAGGCTCGGCACCGTGTGTGTCCAGGGACAACTGTCCCCGCCCATGTAGGTGAGCAAGCGGGCTAGAATGAAGATGAACGACTGCCTGAGAGGCAAAACTGGGAGGAAAACCCAGTCCTCTCTGCTCATAGTGTGGTGTCTTAAAAGTTAAGTTGTGCTTCTTTCCTAGAGCCTGCTGCAGGTAATAGATGTAGGGAAGTAGTGCAAAATATTTGGGATGCTGTCCCAGCTGAAGTGCAGAGATTGGAGTGTCCTGCTGATGCAGTCGGTCCCTGCAAATGAGATGCTGTAATGAAGATTTATATACCAGCTTATTTTCTGTTGAGGGGTGGAAGGTGCCCTCCTATTACTAGAGGGGAGGAAAAAATGCTTTAAGGGCTAACTGGTAGTTTTGAATAGTGGGTTGGTTTTTTTTGGTTTTTTTTTTTTTTTTCAGAAAATACAGATTAGTAATGTGTCCTCTTTAAAATGGAGTGGGTGAAAGCAACGGTGATCAGAACCACTGAGTAAGCAGTGGGTAATCCCTCTTGGACTCGACAAATCCATACTCGCTCACACCAAAATCTCCCTCTGAGTCTTATTTAGTATATATTTCTGTAATCTGCTTTCCAAACACTGCTATTGCAAAGCGTGTGGGATCCGGAGGCCATGGTGCTCCCTGGGGTGACACTCGGTCCTTGGACCTGGAGACAGAGCAGCCCCCGGATGTGGGGTATGGCTCGTGCTGGTTTTAGGAGGTTGGATTTCCGTGCTTCGAACTGCAACACAGCAGTAATTAGCTGCCCCATACGTGTTTGTCCTGCTCTGCAATGAAACCACACGGCTGTACTATCTTAGTTTTTTCCCTTTGTTTTTTTTTTTTTTACCAGGCAAATGAGGTGACTGACAGTGCTTACATGGGCTCAGAGAGCACGTACAGCGAGTGCGAAACCTTCACGGATGAAGACACCAGCACACTAGTACACCACGAGATGCACGACGAAGTAGAAACGGACAGTGCCATCGACTCCACTGTGCACTCGGAGTTCACAGATCCCATCGAGGAGCCGGAGCATGGGTGAGTGGGAATGGCCAGGAGCAAAACTCACCATGCGGGGCAGAAAACTGGCAAACTGGGAGCAGATGAGGACTGAGGGAGACACAGCCTGAGGATTTAAAATGAGGTGGGCTGAGTCTGTCTTGCTGAAACTGGTTGGTTTGTTCTTTGTATTTGTAACTTCATGCAAGACCAAAATAGATCTTCTGTAAGAATAATCATAATAATTAAACTGCACTATGCGTAGGCTGTTTTGGAGCTTGGCCTGGCAATCTCTTTGAGTTAATCGTTGCTTGCCTTGGGAGAACTTCTGTACCCTCATTAGCATCTTTAACCTCTAAAATAAGTTCTCAAATGATCCAAACACCTGAAATACTTGCAGTTTTTAATCTATCACTTAAGCCAGAAACGCAACATATAATTTTCAAGTCAGGAGGCGAACTCATCGTATTCTTGTTTTTCCTAAACACGCGTGTGCCCTTTGATGTGCAACTGCCTCCTGTAATAACTAGTTTTAAACTTGTGCCTGAAGCACAGAAGTGTGAGCTATGATCTTTGTCCCTGTGTCTGAACCGCGGCTGGTGAAACTGCTCCTGGGCCCGCCTCATTTCCTAGATTTTGCAGGAAAAATTGTTTTTTGGGGGGTGAAACTGGGATGCTGGGAAGGCAGGAGCAGAGGCAATAACTCATTTAATTGTGACCCGAGAGCACTGTTCTGCACTGAAACCTCTGGAACCTTCATCACTTAAGGTCTGCTAATGCACAGAATTTTTTTGGCCAAACCCACACACCCAGGCCTGGTGCTTACGGTTCCTGTTGCTTTTAGAAATCACTGGGCTTCCCCCTCACCCACCCCAGAATCACATCTGGGGACATCAGAGATGCAGACAGTGCTGCTGGGCGCTCAGTGCCGGGGCTGAAAGGGTGCTGTGGATTAGGGCAGAAATGAGATTAGCTGGCTAGGCTCTCCTCGCCCCAGCGCCTTCAGCTCAGTGACAGTTAAATCGGGATACGATCGGTCGCTGAGCTCCCCGGCCGCTGAGCGGAGGGTCACTGGAGGGGCCATGGCAGCCTGCGTGCGCTCTCGTCCTCTGGGGAGAATGACGTGCTTCAGATTCACCTGCCTGTAGGTACAAAACGCTTTGCTTGGGAATTTCGTTAAGATTAGGTTGTTCTTGAGGCTTCCCTGCTACTCCCAGCGTGGGCTTGGGAAGGTCGGGTGTCCTTTGGGTGCTCTGTCCCAGCACAGCGGTGCCTGTTGCCAAGTGCGTTAAATGTGCGCACATTCCAGGTAGGCAAAAAAAAAATCAGGGAAAAAGTTCATTTGGCTTAAAGATTTGGAAGGCTTGAGATGGAAACCTCTGGAAATCTATTCTCGAGTTGTTGAGGGCTGGTTTTGGTGCCATCAGACCCCAGGCAAGACAACAATTTTACATCTCCAGTGCCCGGAGCTCTTTCAGGGGACAGTCAGTACAATCTGACTGGCGTAGCTGGTGGACTTAATCAAAGCTTCAACCCTGCTTTTCAGTAGCTGTTAAAGCTCAACATACCTTAGATGTTTTCAGCTTAAGTGGTTATTTAGGCTATGTGTAGTAGAGATTAGTTGGGCTCTGGACCTTGAAACTGCTCAAGCCCCAGTAGGTGTGTATGAAATACTCGTACTATTTATTGCCCGAAGCATCCCCGGCTGAGGGTTTCCAGGTGCCTGATCAGATCTGCTTCTGTACAGCACTTGTCAAACCACAGCCCCAAATTTAGAGATTTGGGGTTGGGTTTTGCTTGTGAGTTTAAAAAATTCCACCCCCTGCCTTCTATTCCTGGCGTGATTTCCGATGCTCTGGGCGATGGTCTGCTGGGCGCAGCGCCTGACTCACCGCCGGGGAGGGGGTGTTTCTGCTGGATCCCGCTGCGGGAAGAATAGGGCTGCTTAAGTGCACGAGGAGGATGTGCAGATGCCCACAAACCGAACTGGACTTGTCTGCCGTTCAATAGAGATCTACTGCTGTTTGAGCTGGAGGGTTGGCATGTTTTTATTAGCGGGATGAGGGTAAATCCTTCAGATGGTGCAGGGTTTTGTCATAAATGGCTTATCTGTAATCTTTTTTTTTCCTTTCTGATTTAGTACAGCAGTCTAGTCATACCCTCGTTTTCCCTCTCCTAAGAAGTGGATGAAGATGGGGGCAGAGCCTGAAATATCAGGTCTTATAACAACGCAATTTTTTTTTTTTTGGCATTGGATTTTGGAGAGGAGAGTGGTGCTAGTCCCCCCCAAAACACATACCTGTGGCTCATAGACACGTGGGCTGCTTTCATAGCCTGGTTCTTACAAATCTCTGCTGCCTTTTCCCCCCAGCTTAATTTTAAAACCTCTGCAGTTGTGGGCAGGAAAGTCCTCTGAGAGCGGGCACACGCTGCCATGGTGGCCTGGCTTTTTACACCACTGCGCACGTGGGAAGACGCTTACAGAAGCGACGACTTCTGTGCTGAGCTGTGTCCCCTCTGAAGGCAAGCGCGTCCCAGGACTTGTGCTGGGTGTGTTCAGGGTTTAGGCTGAGGCTTAAAACACTACAGCCTTCTGTATCCGGTGTTAAAAGCACATGAAACGGCATTGCTCCCTCCAAGACTGTCACGAGCATGTTTGGTGTTTTCCCCACAGGAGCAGGGAAAGCCCTCCTTTGTCTTGGCAGGGGGTCTGTCCCTGCTGGGTTGGGCAGCTGCCTGTAAACCGCCGGGATTTGTGTCATGGCAGGGGGTTACAGCATTAAACCCTGGTGCTGGGCTCTTGATAGGATTATACAGCAGTGAGTGAGCGTGAGCGCGGCACCCAGGCTGACGGTGTAACTCAAAGCATATTTAGGGTGTGTTGGGGACATGCTGAGCTCTTTCTCTGCTGTGGATTTGGTTGTGCCCGTGCCGTGCAAGATATTGCCACCAACCCTGGGTACCATCTTGCAAGTCCCCAAATCCTGTGTTGAGCTGCTGGAGAGCTTGTGTGAAAAAGCATTGGTTTGTTGTGGAAAAAAAATGGCACCAAACTTCCCCGTGGTGCGTGGGCTGCCCCTTCAGCGTCCAAGGCGCGGGTTGAATTGCGTTGTAAGGAAGAGCTAGCCTGGTCTGCCAGAATGGGAGAGGTGACTCGGGAAGTGGGTGTGTTGGATGCAATTGGGAAGGCTGCTGTGGTGGCCGCCCTCTAACATCTCCCCCTCTGTTCCCACAGATCCCATCCGCACGACCTGCCCCTGGGCTCGGACCTCAGCCACTCCATCGTTACAGTCATTAGCGGAGAGGAGCATTTTGAGGATTACGGAGAAGGGAATGAAGCAGATTTGTTCTCGGACAGCTTGTGTAATGGGGAAAGCAGCTTTAACAGCTCCTCGTTCCTCTCACCCAGGTAATGCTCAGCACAGCACTGGCAATGGTTTAACTGGTTTCAGTTCTTAAGTGTTTTCGCCTATGCTTTGCGTGTGAGTTGTTTCCTTTGGGTTTGCACACTAGTCAGCTTGCAACAGGGGGTTCCTGGCAAACTTTGGATACAACAGGGTAATCAGCTGGGAAGTGGAAGAGGAGTTGCCTCCCTCAGTCTTTCCTTTTCTGGAACAGTGCCTGTCCTCCCATCCCAAGGCACTAATGCCCGGCAGCAGGTGGAAGAGCAGTCTGCGTTTCACATGCGTCCGGGACAGCGTCATGGTCCCACTCCTGTTAGGGATGTGGCTCCTTGCAGAACCTTCTGGTAGAGAAAACCATCATGCAGCTTTACCCCTGGTCCTGTTGGATAATGTGTGTTCTTCTTGCTCTCTTGTGCGTGTATTTTTGGCTTTGATATGATGTTTGGTTGGATCCGCACAAGCTGCAGCAGCCTTCCATCCCTAGGCAGCCTGAGGGATACGTGGAGCAGGAAGCAGACAGTAGTGTTTTCCGGCACTCCTTACATTAGGGTCTGAAACCAGGGAAACGTTGGTTTTCCAGCCCATGTAGGGTGGACTGAGGAGATGGTATGGCAGTACAAAACCTGTCAATACTTACTTTCTAAGGAAAAAAAAGCAAAAGCTGAAATGATCATCTACTGCTGCAGCCCACAAAGTCTCTGTGATGAGAGATGATGGTGGGGACGTGTTTCTCCCTCAGGCGGTGCATCTCTGCACAAGGCAGGAGTGGTCCTGGCCAGCCACATGCCTGCGTTGAAGACAAGAATATACTTCTTTTCCTTTAGGATGATACATGTTTGGGACTTTCTGCAGCAGTATAAACTTGTCATAACTTTTTTTTTTGCTGTCTGCCTGTTTGCTCCCAGTTTCCCCATGCCCTTGGTAGAGTTTGGGCAATTCTGGTTGCACAGGGCTGACACGGAAGAACTGCTGTCAAATCTCCACACCTGCACTTTGCTGCAGGTCAGGGCTGACTTTCTTTTTTGCTGGTGCAGCGGCAATTTTGAAGATGTTAACTGCAATAGGAGAGTGTTGCTGTAAAGCACGCCTGACCTGTTATTTCAGGAAACCAGTGCTGCAGCGCTTGATGTGATGGGATACCCTGCAGTGGAAGGGACATGTCACTCATCCATGCTTGTCCTTTGATTGCACCGTGCAGATGTGCTGAGTATGGCTGGCTGTCCTGGTGCTGCAGCAGAGGAAGTATTCGCAGATAAAAACCAGCCTTGGTGTTCGTTTTGAGTTTCTCTCTGAGGGTGGGCCTCCATCCCAGTCCAGAAGGCTCCCGGCAAGAAAATACTCAACTAAAGGAGCTTTGCAATCAGTTAAACTTTAATATCAGTCTGGAGCTCCCAGGTTGCCTACACTCCCAGTGCTCAAATCTTGCTCTGTCAGGGCACCGTCTACCCTCTGCTGCTCTGTCTCTTTGGATCTTATCTATGAGATCATGCTCTGCAGCGTCTTCCCTCTGCCGGGAGGGCCTCACTCACAGCTCATGGTGGTTTACACTGGAGACTCACTGCTGAGGCTTGCTAGGGAGGCAGGCTGCGGGAAAACCCTGCAAAACCTCCAGAGTTAAGAACATAGTTCTGTTGGAAACAGAGGATTTCCTCGTGCCTTTCGGGTCTAGCCCTTACCTTGGATTATTGTTGCGTGCGTGAAGGCCCTTAACTGATCGTTCTGTGAGACTGTGCTGTTCTGAACACAGCCCTGCCTCCCCAGTGCATTTAAACTTAAGGAAACCTTAAAGAACCATAGGGTAGCTCTGGTTCAGGCTGAACTTTTTTTTGGCTGTGGTTTGAATACAAAGAACAGTATTGCTTACAAATGGTCACATTGCCACACACCTTTCCATGTTACAAGAGTCTCTAAATGGGAATAATGTTGACAAATTTCCCTGCCACAGCTCCAGATCTTCACCAGAGTGCTAATACAAAACCCAAGAGCCTTCAGGGAACACTATGGGGTATTGCATTTCCCCGCTTAGTCCTCATGTGTGTTTGTCATCCCTTCTTTTGGGTTGCTACCCATTCCCTGACGTGTCCATCTGGTAAGAGAAGTCTCTCCGCAACGCTTGGTGGGAAGTGAATGGCAACCGAAAGGACAAGCTCCTCGCACGCACCCATTTCGGCTGCTGACGTGCTGTGTCGGTGGGCACCCATGACCTGCAGAAGATGAACATTACTCCATGAGGTGGAGGAAAGAGGCAGGAAGGCTGCATACAGCACAGGGGGTGGCAGCTTGCCACGAGGGGTAGGTGGGGACGCCCTGAGGTGCCATGCAGTTGAGCTCTCACCCACTCAACGGGCAAGCAACCAACCCAGCCAGAGGCCAAGTCTATCTGCACGCACCCAAAGAGTTGCCAGGCTGGCCTGTGGTGCTCTTCTACACTGCTTTTCCCATTTTGATTAATGCTTGTTAGATTCGGGTTCACACCTCGCCCAGGGGTGTGCTCAGCCAGGTGAGCTGTTTCTGCTTCCCGGCCGGGGTGAAGAAAACTCACTGAACGGGGCTCCCGTGCAGCCAGGTGCGGGGGCAGAGCCCAGGCAAGGGCACATTGCTTCTTGCAGGTGCCACAAAGCCTCTGTCACCTCTTATCCTGCGCAAAGCCTGAGCAACTGAACTGACTGCTGGTGGATAATGATTATCTTGGGTCCAGATTTGCCCTAGAGGGTAGGGGGAATGTTTTTCAATTTTTTTTTTTTTTTTTCCGGGAATGGGAAGAGATGAGCAATTTGGTGTTTACTGTTGTCCTGTTGCCTGTTCTAAGGGGGCTCGGAAATACTGTACAGACAGCACAAACTCAGAGGCCTGACCCTGGGGTGGCTGGGCTGCTGACATCCCACTGCCACCAAAAATGACAGCGAGGGGTTGTGCAAAGGTGCTGAGCCAGGGCACCCCGCGCTCAGCATCTCCCGGGCCAGGACTTGCCAGTGTGTATCTGTATCACGGGGCTGACTAGCCCTTTCAGATGCTTTTTGGTTTTAAGCTTGCTTGTGTTTGCTCACACCTTTACCTGTCTTTCTTATTGAACTGCTTTGTTTTTTCACTGTTAACCTTTCTTTGATTAAAGTCTGTGGCTTCCAGAAGCATGTTTTCCTGCAGAAAGGATTTGTGGTGTATATTTGGCCCCAACGTAACACAAATTCTTTGCTATCCAAAATCTATCGGCCAAATTCTATCCTGCCCAAGTCACGGCAGGTGAGAGAAATGGCTCTGGTTTTGCCCAATGTCGGTGGATGCCTCAGCAGCTGGCTTTCCACGTCAGCAGCTGCAAATGAGCCACCCATTAGCTTCCCGAGCTGTTGGGTCCTGATGGGTTTAACATGCACCTCGCCTTCCCTGGGCTCTCAGGGGGGTCCTCCACAAGAGCTGGCTGGCACAGGGGTTTGGAAACATAAGCCAAGCTCAGCTGCTTAGTTTAGACTTAGACTCCCTCAAGTTTCTGGGAGGAGGGTGATGGAAGACCTGCTAGTTTATAGTGACTCCATATTGATTGTGATTTGGCTTCTAAAATGGACGGGGGGAGGTGACCCAATCTGCCCTGAAGTTTTCAATTGCAGGTCTTGTATCTCATGCCAAAAGCTCCCCTGCCTAAACGTACTCTCAGCTTGTGGAAGCCACGGATGAAAATCGGCCCCATCTGTTCTGTCCTGTTAAAATTACCCTTGTGATTTCTCTAGCACCAATCCGCTCGCTGCGAAACTGCACAGCATTATCGCAGATGAAGCATTTGAGTTTTACTGTAGCCAGTGCCACAAACAAATCAACCGCCTGGAGGATCTTTCTGCTCGCCTGAATGATCTTGAAATGAATAGGTAATTGGGCTTGTGTGTGGCCATGTCAGTGTTGGGAATGATGCTCTGGAAGGGAAGGCTCTCCTTGTCTTGCACAGCTTTCCTTTGCTGGTGTGTTGGTTGATTCCTGGTTGCGGAAGGGGATGAATTTCACCAAACGAGGTGAGCCTCCCCAGGTGGCAAAGGCTGTAATAACATTAGGAAGAGTGAGCAGAAGTTTCCTTTGATTTGAGCCACAGAGGCTGGCAGACAATGAGAGTCTTTCCTTCCGCTCTGGGCAGCCTCTTTGCATGTCCTGCTGAGTGGTGGGTGCTTCTCCACGCTCCGAGTAATGCAGTCCGTGCGTTGGGACTTGAAGCCGTAAGCTGATCGTGTACAGTATTTCTGTCACCGAGGAAAAGACTGCCAGGTCTTCTGGCCGGTGATACCCAGCGTGGCGGCACGCCTGAGTTGCTGGTTCAACCTGGGAGGGCAGGTACAGCCCGTCCTCCCGCTGCAGCAGTAACCTGGGAACATCAGCTTGCTCTCTGTGGCTTGGGACCTCTCCTGTAGACGCTCTTGCTTTGCAGCAGTCAAATCTTGTTCCACTCAGCTTCGCCAGCTGCCTGCCCACCCGTCTGCCACCATGAGCTGGGTAGACGTGAGAAACGCCGGGGCCTTTGCGTAGGAACTTCGCAAGTTTTTGAATGTTTGAGGTCTGCCAGCCAGCAGCTGGACTGGCGATTTGGCAAGTGGGGAGGGATTTCTGTTCGTTTGCTTATTTTTTTCAGACCTGTTTGCAGTCATCTGGGTGGAAGGATGGTGGCATTAATGATAATCATTCTTCTCCTATCTGCTGTGCTTTTTCAAGCCTGGTTTTTGGTCGTGCTCTTGGTCTCTATCTGTCCCCTACAGGGACAGTGTGACGTGGGAGCTCTCCTGGGCTATATAGCTGTGAGAAGAGAACTGGAAAACAAATAGGAGCTTGACCTTAGGTTTTTTTAATGGAAGGAGTACTTCTCTCCTGTTCTCTTTCTTGGGTAAATAGTTGCATTTGCTGTTGGAGGCCTTGACGGTCATGCAGTTGTTAGGGGGAACACTGGACTTCCCTGGATGCACTGGTAGCCCCACTCCATTTCAGGCTTTCTCCACCAAATTTACCTGCAAAGCTGAACTAACACCGCAGAGCCTCCTGTGATGTGAGGGATTTCCAGAGGAGGCTTCCCCGTCCCATGGTGTCGCGGTAGGAATTCTGTAGGTTTTGATCTACCAAGTGCCTTTGGGCTCAGGGCGAGGAGTTGTGGTTCCTCCAGCTGTGCTCAGGGTTTCACCAGTTTTGCACAAATGTGCTGGAAATCTGTTCTAAGAGCCCCTGCGCGCTGACCCGATGGAAGGGCCATTGCCCCCCCTTTCTGCAGTAAGGACCTGAGAGGTGTCCCTGTGCAGCATGCACGACGTGGCAGGAACCGTTGTTTGCTCCCAGCATCACCAGCAACATGAAGCCCTCTGTGCAGGGGACAAGTCCTAGACTGCAAGCAGAAGAGAGCGGCAGAAAGTGGACCAAAATCTGGGCCAAGCAGCGTCGCACCGTGCCTGGGAGGCAAAGCCTGAAAACACCCGCTCCAGAGGATGCCTGCAGCTGGGGTGAAGCCCAAGCTGCTGTGTAACAGCCTCACTCTTACAGGCTGTGGGCATCTATACGGCGTTTTATACCTGGAATAAGGTGGGGAGCCTGGTCCTCGCATTGGGACACTGCTGCCCAAGCCCACAGCACGGGAAGGCAGGGAAGAAATCTGCAAGGAGCTTGGGATGAACCAGTTTTGTGAAAATATGTTTTGTTGTGGTGCCCTTGAAGCAGAGGTTGTGTGTCTCATCATCCCCTCCAGAGAGACCCGCGGGTGCCGGCACTGTTCTCCAACAAGCTGTTTGCAGAGAAAAATATTTTTTCTCCCTCCGGTGCTGGGGACATACGTGACTCGTTGCAACTGCTGGCAAACACGAGGGCCTGACCTCCTCCCCTCGGGCGGGTGCCGAGCGTCCTTGAAGCCTGGCCAGCAGCAGCTCTTGCACTCCTTGGAAATCTGGGGTTTGAGGATGCACTTTTGACATGAAGGCTGGTAACCCTGACAACAGCCCCTGGTCAGTCATGGTGTTTTTAAAAAAGAAAATTGTCATCAGTTATTTTTAATTCCTCCTTTCTAAGAAGTAATAGAATTGTTGCAGCTCTAGGCAGGAATGGACTGCCAGATGATTTTTTATTTTTTTTTCTTTAAACTGAGCTAAGCACCGGGGAATGCAATTGCTGCTTCTCTGCTCGGGCTAGAGCTGTGTTCGCTGCCATCAATCAGTGACGATTTGGTGTCAGCAATGCGTCCCAGTGGCATCTGTTGGACAACAGTGTGTGTTTTGGTGGAAGATGAGGAGTGAGGTCCAAGCCCTGCTTGTTTCACTAGAATGCAGCTGCATCAATCACGACCGAAGGACTGGAAGGAGCATCTTAGCCAGCAGCCGTTTCTGAAAAAAGCGTTTTTCCTCAGCGGGGAGAGCCTGCAGCCCCGTCCCGAGGGGCAGGGTAACGCAGACATGGGCTGTTCGTACCGTGGGTCATGCTGAGCATTAGCTAAACCCTGACCGCTGTGGTATGGTGGCAGCTGGCTCAGGATGGAGCTGGGGTGTGTGATCTCTGTCAGTTGTCTGTGCAAAGGAGAGCTCGTACCCCTCTCCAGCGATTATAACAGTGCCTGGGCTTAAAATCCAGAAGGGGATGCGACCAACAGCTCCTAAAATCACTGAGCTACAAGTAGGCAGCAGTTGTCTGGTGATCCAGAGCCAAAGAGTGAGAATAATCCTTGTGAGAAGTGCAAACCAGTGTGCAGAAGGACAGAGGTGCCTGTTTGCAGGCAGGAGGTGCACCCTGTCCCCCAGCCACCCGGCAGGGAGCCCCCGGGAGGTGGCAGGGGAGGGCAGGCTGGGGTGCCTCGGAGTGCAGGAGACGTAGCTCGGTTGGCAGGCAGTGCCGGGCTGAAGCCCACCTAACTCGCTGCTATTATTAGCGCTTTCCTTGGGGATCAGCTTTCAGGACAGGGATCAGCCGGGGAGAGGGTACCATTGCTGGAGGCGGTGAGGTTTTCTGCGGCGTTGCTCCGTTTGGTGCGTTATCACCCCCTTGGTTTCCTCGCTGCCTTTTACCGGGGGTGGCCGGGCTGTGCGGGTGGTGCATGCCAAGTGCTCCCCTGCCATAGCAAAGGATGTGCCCCGGAGTGCTTGCAGCAGTTTCCTGTTTCCCTTGCTCTCCCCTGTCAGCTTTCCTAACTCTTTCCTGTTTTTCCTTCATTCTGCAGTCCAAATAAAAGACTCTCAAGCAAGAAGGTGGCAAGGTAAGCTCATGCTCCTGTTACTGCTTGGTGAGAGGGGTGCCCGTCCTAGCTGCTGGGCCCGTGGAAGGAAGGCTGTCAAAATAAGTTTGCAGCGTCGTGCTTCTGGACGTGTTGCCTAGTGGTGGGGAAAAGCGGATTTAATTCTGATCTAGTTTGCAATAGCTGTTTTTCTGAAATGGGGGTTTCTCACTTGTGCACACAGCTGGAGGCTGGTGACAACCTGATTTCTTCCAGGACAAAAGCAGGGGTGCTTTCCCTCCTCTATCCTGCCAGTGCCCTAGCAGGGGGCATGTGGAGTGGGGGAAGAAGTCTCTAGAAGGACATGTCCCTCTGGACTGCTTGGCTGGGCTGTCTGCTCGCTGTGGAGGGGACACCCAAGGTGTCACCATGGTGGGTCTCTAGAGTCTCTAGAAGACCGAACCAGTCAGTCCACCCACTCAGGGAGATTTCTTCAGCACCCCAAAAAACTCAGCCGCCTTAGACAACTCTCTGTTGCCTGTTCTGTTTTACTTTGCTCAGTGTAACCCTCAGCACTTGCCTTTGCAGGAGCAGCCCTCCCTGCTCAGTCAGGGGCTTTGGGCACTTCCTGGGGGGCGGCTGCAGGTAACCCCTCCCTGGGGTTTAAGGCTGTGCTGCTGCTGTCCTACAGCAGCGTCTCATGTGGTGCCAGTCACCCTTTGCTCGTGGGCATTTTTATCCCTGACTGCACAGGAGAAGCTGCAGAGATTGCTCTGAGTCGCTGGGGCAGAGGGTCCATCCCCTCTCGATGACACCCGGGGCTCACCTTTCCTTCCCCAGCTTCACCATTCCTCCCATTCCCATGTCATCGTGCTTTAAAGACTATGCTGAGCTTTCCTTAGCTGTCCTGCCCGGCTCGGGAAGGAGGTTGCCCTCTGCAGTTCTTGTTTTTCTCTTTGCTTGTTTTTGAGGAGGGCAGGGATACTGCAGAGGAATAGGCAGCTCAGTTTGGGTGATGCTCGTACCCCCACGCCCTGACGCTCAGTCTGCTCCCCGTGCTGACCCCAGCAGCTTCTCTACCTCTCTCCCTCCTGCCTGTGCTCTCACACCTTTCCCTTCTCTATTTTTCCTGCGGTCAGCAAGTCTCCCCTGGCACCATTTCGCCTCCTGGCAAGGAAGCAGATCCTTGATATTACATTTCCTAGTTCTGGTCATCTTACTTTCTAGATCTTTGTTAAAAACACTGGCAGGAAAAAAGGTTGAAGGGAGCAGCCTGTCGCCAGGTTTCCTGTTTTAGGACTAGTTTTTGTCCCATGTCTGCCAAAGCAAATTTAGGGAGGATATGAGTTAAACTTTTGGGAATGGAGATGCCCTGTCTTATGGGGAATTGACCCCTCCTGGCCCTTTGCATTTGCAAGATGCATTTCTGGGTCTGGAACTTGTGGGCTTAGGTAAATATTGGCTAATTCAAGAGCAGTCAACGTTTGCTTGGGATAACAAGAGAGATAACAGGGTTTTGCTGCAGAGGGAGACAGATCCTTGAGATCAGCCCAAAGAAAGCCCTTTGGTTACAGAAACTGTAATTAGTGAATAATACCAAAACATTTGCTTTTAGGAAAATTATTTTATTTTGGTAAGGGCTCTTTCCTGATTTTTGTTATTGGGGTTCTGCTTGTGCCAAGAAATCTCAGCTGCTTAGGCCCTATTGTGCTTGGCATGATTTAAATGACAAATGTGCCCGAGACTTTAGAATCTAAATATATACTCAGGGTGAGGATGCAAAATCAGGCTGGTACTCAGCTGTGGTCTCTTTGGTAAATACCAGTTATGTTTCATGAATATTTGCATGAGCATATTGTATAGCAGGGTGAATTTGAGAGCCCACATCACAAATTTCTAGGAAGAACTTGAGGTTCAAAGAGACCTCTGTAGTTTTCTCGTTCACCTCCTGCTCAAAGCAGCTCTGGCGTCAAAGGGAGATCAGGCTGCTCATCATTTGAGTTGCAGTGGGAGAGCAGAGTGGTTTTATCCAGGCAGCATCTGCCTGGGGTTCACAGAGCTGGAATACAACAACCCCTCCCTGTGGCAATAGCAGTTTCTTGTGCCACGAGACGATGGAGCTGCTCTGCAGTGAGAACACGAGGATTATACACAGATAAAGGCGTCCTCTAGGTGGTCGCAAAGCTGTGGACACCCATGTTGCAAGGTCTTGCTAATGATTAGCTCGCTCTTGGCTGGCGCGGCTGGCACGGGGAGGTGGGCTGGGGTGTTTCACAACAGGTTCAGGGGTTTTTCTCCCCTCCCTCCTCTTACACCCGCTGCCCCCCACTTCTCATTAACCTTATCAGTGGCTAGAGCGGAGTACTCTGGACTTTGCTGGATAATACACAGCCTTGCTACGTTTGTAAAGAAAGAAAGTGAGAAGTGTGAGTTCTTATCTCTTCCTATTCCAAAGAGCAAGAACAAATGATTGTGGTATGAAGTCCCAGCAGTGTGTGTCCACGTTGTGCAGGGCGTGTTCGTTCAGCTGGTAAGCAGCCACCTGCTCAGCCCTATTCTCCGGGCACGCTGAGGCAGTGAGCTTCATTGCCCGTTGGAGCTTGTGGTGGCGAGAAGGACCTGGCCCACACCATCCTTTGCTGTAAATCCTGTAGCCCGAGAAGGAGTGGTGCTATTAAATCCCATAGGAAAAGGAGGTGGCAGCTGAGGAGGGGAGAGAAGGGGCCGTGTCCCACAAGACCTGTAGTCACCTGAAATTGCCATGTCCTGTGATGTTTGCTCTAATGCTCGTGTTGCTGTGGGCTGGGGCGGTTTGTCTGTCTTATAGACAGTTGCATCAGACGAGCACGCTGTCCGTGGGGGTGATGGAGGAGTCTTACCGGGATACGCTGGAGTGCTCCGAAGAGGACATCACGGACAAGGTGAGAGCGGTGCTGTCTGCACTACCCTGGAGCGTGCAGTGGCTTGCAATGCTCTGAGGTCCCCCGGCAGGAGTTAGGCTGCAGCTCCTCCGACTGCACAGCTGGCACTGGGAGGATGGGTGCAGGTGGGACACGTGAAGCCCTCCGCATCCAGGGGATGGAGAATGAGAGCGCTCTGAGTTGAATTGCAGAGGTCCTGTGTTGAGTCAGGAGGTGGCACTGGTGCTTCTCCCGGGGGTGGAGGTGTGCTGCCGGGCTGGCAGAGAGGGTGGCTTCCCTCCAGCGCGCCGGGAGGAGGGGGTGGCTGTTTGCAGGCTGTATTTTCGCTTCTGCTTCACGTAATAAGATGTTCTTAAATTCTGCTTTTCGGAGATGAGCAATGTCACATGATATGAAACAAGGACTTCCTTTCCTTGGCACGCTCTTGCCACTGCTGCTTGTGCCATCAGGTTATGAAGCTGATTTTGTGTTGGTCTGATTGGGTTTTACTGGGGTGTTATGAGAAAAGGATTATAGGACAAGATGGGAGCTGAGCAGGAGCACAAGAAAGATTTCGTTTGAGCACCCCTAGCTGAAAATAGCTAAGGCAAAGAAAAAGTTAGAGAGGTGAGTTGTGGCTTGTGTGAATGTCTGCTGCAGTCCTGAAACACCTTGAAAATGGCTTTTTAATTCTGGAATCATAAACAGAGAGCTGCATGGAGTAGCATGTGAAAGAGAAATGTGTGGCTGCACTCAGATATAATTGTAGTGCATGGAAGACCTTTTAAAAAAAAACCTCTACAATTTTTCCAAGTCTGAAGGTTGACTAAAACACACATTCCTTAAGGCATCTGGCTTGGGAAACTCTGTAGATACTTCTGGAAAAGGCCTTGTGTCTCCGCATGTTTCTTTTCCTAATACACTTGCATGTCGCTTGCCCTTCTCCCCAGAGCGGTGGTTCGGTTTTGCTAACATGCTCCTAACGGCCTCTCTTTCATGATTGTTCTTGTATGGGTATGAATGGGATTTTGGGGACCATGAACTCTGTCCTTCTGCAGTTCCCAGCCAGGGAGGGGTGGGAAGTAGAGGGGCACTCCCAGCCCCCTTTGCTCTTCAAAGTTGTGCACTCTTTAGGGGAAGTGAATGAAAATGCAAATCCTGTTTGAGGCAGTGGGTGGTTATCCCCAGCCTCAGGGCTGCACTTGGATGCAGCGGAGCTCTGGTGATCCAGCTGGGGTCTTTCCCTCTAGACCTCCACATCTAGGGTATTATCACAAAGGATATGAAGAAAGAGGGAAGTGTTTGGCCCTATACTGGTACATGGTACATTCTGTGACAGGGTGACCTGCTCAGTGGATGAGGGAAACGCTGTGGATGTTGTTTACCTGGACTTTACTA